TACAATAAGATGGATGGGTTAGTAATGTTATAAGCAAGCCCACATTTCATATATTATTGCTATTACATATCATACGTTTTTTATTCTAATGTTAGTGTTAAAAAAGTCTAAAGGTAAGGTTATTTTACATGTGTATTTATTTTAAAATAGCGGATCATTTATGCGTGTCAAGAGTCACACAGTTTTAGAACAGGTTTACAATAAGGTGGATGGGTTAGTAATGTTATAAGCAAGCGCACATTTCTTATATTATTGCTATTACACATCATACGTTTTTTTATTCTAATGTTAGTGTTAAAAAAGTCTAAAGGTAAGGTTATACTGTTCTACTTTTAAAATATTACTTTGATTTTTACTCTAATAAGTGATAACACACAATTCGTTTTCTGATATTTTGCATCTTCTAGTGAATTTTGTTTTAAAATGTAATCGAACAACACTAACCACGAGACGGCAGAACTAATAGTTATGGGGTTATATGTATGATTTTATGTATAATCCACAGTTTCAACTTGCAGGGTCTTACATCGTAAGAATTTTTGTTTTGTACCAATTCATGCATCTGATATTGCTATCTAGACAAATAAAATATTGTTTGTTTTTCATTTTTTTTACGTTGAATCTAAAATGAGACCAAACACAAGTTATTATCATTTAATAGTTTTTTTTTTTAAAAGTTTTTTAAGCAAGTTTTTTTTTAAAATTCTATTATGTTCATTAGATTTCTCACAGTTTTTAAACTACTTATTGAAGATAGCAATCTCAAATGTGTAAATAAGTGAAAGTTAAAAATAGTATACATAAAAATTCTCGCACTTACTGAACTGTTAATCCGATTGACTCGTGTTTAGTTTTAAAAGATTCAGTAAAAAAAAAATTAATAATTAGGAAACAATTATCTCTTGTCTAGATAGATAGCAGTGTCAGGTACTTAAATAAGTATAATAACAAAATTGTACTTTTTATTAAATTAAACCTTCATAATTCTAAACTATAAGACTTATCGTCTTGCGGTTTATATCATTAGATTAAGCGTTAAAAACTACATCTGTAACAATTGGGTATACTATAGCCTACGTCACAGGTTGTGTTGTTCCTACTAAATTTAACTCATGAACGACATTTTCTGCGAGCCTAACTTCAAGCCACAAATAAACAAACGAAGTGTTTGATCGTTTAAATAGCTGCTCGCCAGATTTTATTGCATTATAAAGAAAAGTAATTGATATTCGATTTTTGGTTAGTAATTGATTTATGTGGATAGTGGCATTTATGTGGATAGTGGCATAGAATTTAGCATTGCGTCATGGTAAATGTTATTCCTACTAAGTGGAAGTAGTTGTGTTTTTTTTAATATTATACCCAATTGTATAAACATCAGTATTTATTCTCTCCAAAACATCTCACGTGATTTTATTGAATTTTTATGCGAGTTCACCTGTTGAGATCCTGATGAATAAATCTCAATGGATCCCGTTTTTTTTTATTTCAGCTTAATTAGACAGAACTTCTTGTAAAGCAAGTAAAAAGAATAGGCGAATTAAATGTTTCCTATTTATATGAAAGATGTACTTTTCCTAATTATTTAACATGATTATATGACATTGCTCCATTTTGCCATAAACAACAAACATAGGGCCGGGATAGCCTGGTCGGTAGGGCGCTGGGCCCATATCCAAGAGGTCGTGGGTTCGATCCTCGCCGGCCGAAGACTCCCCGTGTAGTAAATGGTGACTGATGCACGTTAAATCTGTCGAGTCTCAAAGTCCTCCATGTTCCCACAACAAATCAATACCTCTGGGGGTACTGATCCAGGAGTTTCCTTGTCTTCTGGATTGGTTCAAAATTACAAGGCTACGGATTTGAACGTAAGTAGTCGTAAACCCATGAAATTGGGTCGGCTGTTCAACGACGGTTATAAAATAAAATAAAACAACAAGCATAGAGCAGCGATGACTCAGGGGATAGAGCGTTCGCCTTCCAATGAGGTGAACCGGGGTGCGATCCCGCGGCGATGGCTGGTAGATACAAATTCCGCATCCGGCTTGCACCGACCACAGTGCTGGCGTGAAATATCCTCAGTGGTAAACGGATCATGGGTTAGAGTCCCCTTGCCGTCAGCCTAACCGTGGGAGGTAATCGTGGTCTTCCTCTCCATGTAACGCAAATGCGGGTTAGTTCCATCAAAAAGTCCACCACGAAAGCAAATTTCTCTCAAAATATGATCCAGGAGTTCCCTTGTCTTCTGAAGTGGGTTCCAAATTACAAGGCTACGGAGTTGAACATTAGTTGTAAACCCATAAATTAGGTCTGCTGTTCAACGACGGTTATAAAAAAACAAAACAAAAAAACCAACAAACATTATATCAGCTTTATTTGAATAGTAACAATAACGCAAAATTGTAATAGTTCTCTTTTATAACCAATTACACATAATTTTTACTTTCTATGCATATAAATTTTTTTTATAATAGCTACCATTTTACATATGGCATGTAGTTTTACCACCAAGCGTCACAACTAAACTGTAAAGTGTTATGATTTCTGGCTTTTACAAATATCGCATATTGTAGTTACTAAGGCAAGCTGTGCATATAATGCAATTAGAATTTCAAATCCATATTTGGAAATAATAGAGGGAAAAAAATTTAAATGAAATTTAAATTTTCTTCACTTTTTTTTGTTAAAAAAAGTATCCCGATTAGAAATAACCTTAGCAATTTATTTTGCATAAGAATAATATTCCTTATCAATTGAATTCCTTTGACGTATACATACAAATATTCAGGTTTACACAGTTCATCAAAATATGTTTCTACCAGAGGATAAAATGGCGACGTGCTGTTAATCTAAACTTGGTATGTTTTGCTTATTTTTTAAACTTAAATCAAATCTAACACACTTATATTGGGAATAGTTTACACCAAGCTTACTCGCTTACCATACGTAAAATATTTTCGGTTCCGGAAACATCAATGTTGGAACAATTTAGATATGATTATTTACATCTGAATATAAGTTGTCGAGAGTTTGTTTATATCTTCAGTGCCGTTACTCATTTACAGAACAAGTTCGCTGTTAAAACATGTATGGATGTTTTTTGTTGTTAAAAAAGGATATTTGTATTTTAGTTTTTACGTCAATTGTATTAAATAACTTTATAATATTTAATTTTTATCCCATTTGGCTTTGTTAAACCTAGTTTAAACTCGTTTTAATATTGAATCTCGAAAAGAACTTTATTAATTTGCATGTGTATATTATCTTACTGTAATTATAAATATTTATGTTACTGAATACCGAAAATTGTTGCAGCTACTTTACTGATAGCAGTGTAAAGAACATTCTCGTTGCTTCACCACTCCTTGGTTTTACACCACTTTGGACTAAACTAATTACTACCATTTTTATTGTTAAGATAAACTTAAATTTTTAAAGTGAGTTTTAAATATTATTGCTGTACTACCTTTCTTTTTTTTAATTTTGTTCTTTTTATTGTACGAAATTAGAAAATAGATCATTGTAGAGTCAGCTCTTTTATGTTTTCTGACATCACTGTTGCCGCAATACTATAGTCACGTTTTCTTACAATTTTCGTGAGTTATGAAATTATTTGTCTCGGAAATAAAGATTTAATCGAAATTAATTGATAGATTTATTTTTTCAAGGAAAAGTTATTGCGCTATTAGACTAAGTAAATAATACGTAAGAGTATCCTCTACTTTTCTTTCAATAATTTTAATTTCTCGAAAATAATTTTGATGATCATTTTACTTTAAAACAATGTTATAACGCTTACCAACCAGAAAATTCCATTTCGTTTTTAGCATTTCTCACTCGAACTGTTCGTAATAGAATGTTCTATAATATCGACAATGACCGTCCCCATGCTTTGATCAATATCCTAAATTTCCTTGTTCTGGCTGATGATTTAGGAGTCTATAACAGGACATGATATATATATCAGGGCTCGAAAAAATTCAGAAATTTTACCCGTCCCCGTGGACGGCTTGTCCAACAATGTACCCGTCCTACAGTAATAAAATAAATACTAGGTTACTAATAGTAACCTAGTACTTCTTTTATGAAATAATTTATTTATTTTATGAAATAATTTAAATGACAAAGGTCAAGTTATCTGGAATGTCAATTTATCCGAGGGTACTGCGTTTTTTATGTGAATCAAATACGACGTTTGCCAGTTCCACAATCAAGCCAATGATTTACAAAGGTTTCGCACAGAAATCTGAAAGGGGTTTTCCATTTAGGTAGATGTTCATAATTGCGTTTAACGCTTCTTGTTTAAGACCAGCACGTAATGTATTTTTTTGCCCCCTTTCAACCACTGCAGTGCTCCCAGACAGAGAAAATATCAATTCTAATAACAAAAATTGAAAATGTATCTCGAACATTAACGGGAAAATGGCCATCCGCGCGGAAGTCGGATTTGAGAAATTCGTTGTCCGAGGGGACTTTTTGACCGCCGAGGCGGACGGGCGGTTTTTCGAGCCCTGATATATATAGTAGATTTAGTATTTTTTTCAATAATACTCTTGAGAAGAATTTTTGTCTGTGAACGACAAAAAAGTGGATAACTAAAATGAATTTATAATCGGAAATGTTCCACTTAAAAATAATAAAAAACATAATGAGATGGAGTGTTGCTAAATTCAAAACTCTATCAATGAAAGAAAATTAGTGTTTTATTTAGCCTACTGAAGCACAAGTTATTTCTCCAATTTTGTAGGTTCTTTCAAAGGGCGTGAACACGAAGTTCTTTGATGGATTCAAGATATTACCTTGGTGCAACTGACTATGCAGTCCTCGTCTTCACGCTCTTGATCTCTGCAGCTATAGGTATAATATTTCGTTTTTCTGGCGGGAGGCAGAAAACAACGACAGAATACTTACTGGCTGATAGAGACATGTCTCAAATACCCGTCACCCTCTCAATATCAGTGACAATAACCTCTGCCGTGATGATGCTCGGTACACCTGCTGAAACCTATAGGTATGGGTTACAACACGTGGTGACCCCTTTCGGTATTGTGATTGGAATGCTTCTGGCTTCCTATGTATTCATACCAGTATATTTTCAATGCAGAGTTTCAACAGTGTATGAGGTAAGAATCTTTTGCCTGTTGAAAGTGCCTGATTTATAATAAAACGTGAGAGGCTAGGAACTGAAGATCACATATTTCTAAGATTGAACTTAATGTTAGCTTAAATTTTCTTAAGTATCATAATTCTCCTATGTTATAAATACTTCTAAAGCCTTTTGTACACAAACAAGAGGTATATTTGGTACAAATTTGAGTTCAGCGGAACTCCCAACATTTCTGTGGCTGCAGTCAGTAGATTTCTAAATTAGATCAACAATGTTGAGTGATATAGCGCACACCGATATCTATTTTGAAATAGTCAGTTAGGCCAGGCTCTTCCTCATTACTAGCTCATGATTTTGTAAACATAACAGCCTAAGATCACAGTTACTATGACTTATTTTTAGTTCAGAACTCTTTTTTTATTTACTTCGTTGTTGTAAAAAAAGTTAATGATCTGCATCACATTAAAAAACAACAAGGAAAGAGTAGTTTGTTTAGTTGGCATTTGTGCTATTTTCTCAATTGTTTAACATTATTCGTTAGTATAAATATATTTACAAGAATGGTTATTTAAACAATAAGTAATGAAGTTGCCTGTATTTTTTGTACTTAGTTAATTAGCTCATAAACAGGTGTATGAATACAGGCCTCTATGAAAGCGGGCAGAATTATGCAACAGTCAAATCACGCTTGATGCTGATGTTGTGGTCTGACTCTCAGGATCAGACCACAGCACCTCAACTTCCACAGGGGTTGGTCTTTTTCAATGAAGTTGGAGGGAAGATTCCAGGTCTCTAGTTATTCTTCTTACATCTTAACACTTTAAAAATCATTGCTTTAAACCATATCGGGACTCATCAGTGAAAAGAATCTTGACTCAGTGTCCAAGGTTGACGTAGGCTGCATCAATGAAATGGTCTAGCTTGTTATGTGAAGTGTTATCCTGGCTTCTCTGAGATATAGAACTAAGTTCTTAAGACCTTATATAAAATTGTTCAGTGGTACCGCCGGTAGTTAATTTTCATATTTATGAACGACGACGTGCGTCTACACATGGCCGTATAGAGTAGAAGTAGTGGGATGGGTCCCAGCTGTATTTAATACGTTCTTTGTTGGCGGCCAACGAACATATCTCGCATGATCCTTTCACAGTATAAATACTATCCTATTGGAGGTTGTTTAATTTCTGAAACTGTTAATAATATTAACTTTGATTCTGGATGTTTTTTTAATACTTTCTCTTACAGTAATCTGAAAAAGCATTTCCTTTTTTGCACATTCCAGTTTTTAGATATGAGGTATGGAAAATACACTAGATTAATTGTATCAGCGTTGTTTGTGGTACAAACCGTAAGTCAATTAATTACAATTTTTCCTTTATCTAATGTCATGTCATACTACATTTTTTTTACATAGAATTATAATTAATTCCTTTTAGATTCTGTATATGTCAGCTGTGCTGTATGGACCAGCACTTGCTCTTAGCGCAGTCACGGATCTAACTTTAACAACTTCCATATTAGTTATTGGAGGAGTTTGCACATTTTATTGTGTTCTGGTGAGTATCTTCAACAAAATAGAGTGGTTCTCTTAATCTAGTGCTGTTGAAGAAAGATTTTTTTGAAAAAGGATATAGTCATGACCATACATTTCACGGTACCTTAAGACTGTGAAAAAAGTTTGATCTAAACAAAACCCCCACGAACTATTGAATCTGGCAGTTCCATCTCTAACATAATACAATAACTGATTCTTAAAACTTAAGCCGTGGTGGATCAGGGGATAGAGCACTCGCCTCCCAATGAGGTGACCCGGGTTCGAATCCCAGCAATGACTGTTCTTTACGAATTCCGTACTCGACTCTCGCCGACAACAGTACTGGCCTAAAATATCCTCAGTGGTGGTGGACAAATCGTGGGAGTTCTTCGTGGTTTTCCACTCCGTGTGACGCAAATGCAGTTTAATTCCATTAAAAAAGTCTTCCACGAAGGCTAATTTGTCCCCTTGTCCGGAAGTTTCCGCGTCTTCTGGGTAAGATTACATTGATTTAAAACTGTTTTATGCTCGATCTTTAGCTCCTGGAGGATGTTACGACTGCTAGCATGCAGGACAACTTCGATCATTTTGTGATTCTATCGCTATTTTTGATGACTGGCTTACTTGTGCGAGGTGCATCTTTAGCATCAAAAATACCTGAACGGAATCGATAAAGCCAAAATTGCACGTAATTGGCTGTTACAGTATAGGAATCATAAACACCATTCACAATTTCAGCCACCTGTCTTGCGTTTTTGTCTTTATCAAAGAAAAACTGTAAAATGTAGCGAAATTTCTCTTTTTTGACTTCAATTTTTAACACCATGTAACTCACAACTGAATGAACTAAACAAAAAAACAGCGAAATAACTTTTTAGTCAGGAATGTCATCTTTACAACGAGCATGAATCTGAAATTGTTTGATCAATACTTTACGAGATATCGATCACTGTAGCTATCGATCAAAAAAAATAATGGATTTCTTCCTCTATGGATTCTACCTAATATATGGATTCTATCTACACTGACTGAGCAAAACTCATGGGATACCCACCTTATATCTTTTCGGGCCCCCTCTGGTCCTGCAGAGTGCAGCGATACGGCGTGGAAGTGAGTCTGCAAGACTCTGGAACACGTCCGGAGGTAGTTGGCATCACACATCCTGCAGAGCGGCTGCCAATTGTGGCCTGTTCGTCGATTGAGGATTCAATGCCCTGAGCCTGACGTCGAGGGCATCCCAGATATGTTCAATGGGGTTCATATCAGGACTTTGAGGTGGCCAATTCAGTCGTTGGATCTCACCTGCATGCTCGTCGAACCAGGCACGGACGATATTGGCGCGATGTGGGGCTGCGTTGTCATCTTGATACACAGCAATGTCATCAGGGTGTTGAAACATGACAAAAGAGTGGAGATGGTCTCCAAGGAATGGTCTCCAAGGATTAAATGATAGACCACCGGCCTGGACTGTGCCCACTTGGCATGCTGGATCCATCGCTTCGTGCGGTTTGCGCCACACACGGTGCCTCCCATTAGCATGGAACATTTGATAACGTGATTTGTCAGACCAGATCACGTTACGCCACTGTTGCAGTGTCCATCGTTGGTGATTTGTGGCAAATGTAAGCCTAATTGTCCGATGACGCTGCGTTAGCAGTGGCACACGCGTGGGGCGACGGCTCTCATATCCGAGAACGCACATGTTCCGACGGATTGTCCACTGGGACACGTCTCTATCATGGCCAGTGTTGAATTCAGCCGTGATTTGTTGCACATTTGTTCTCCTATCTCGAGTTANCGAGCATATGAAGGAAACAGATTGGAGTTACTTAAGTGAGAGAAGATTTACTTATTGAACTAAAAATTGTAGGATTTATTCGATACTATAATGGTCAAATTTTATTGATTATTGTTTAAAAATACCAGGAACTACCTATGTCTTAGCGTTAGTTAGTTAGGGGCGCCACTGACTGCAAAAATCATTTAAGCTTTTTTTTATTATTCTTTTTTTCTTTTCTTTTTTTTTCTTGAAAAAAAGAAAGAAACGATAAAATCAACAATACTATAAACATGAAAACAATAACCAGAGCAATACAGAACTAAAGAACTATCTCATTTTTAAAGGAAACGTCTGAATTGTAGTTTTACAATGAACTATGTAATAGTTTTAACAAATTTATAATTTTATAAGTATCGTAAAAGCAGTATGGAAAGTATCGTAAGAAATTTTATAGTACGATCGATTTATCCATGACGTAATGTCATGTTGATATTAGTTCAACTAAAACATTTTAATTTTAGTTGTTGAAAAATACTCAATATCACTCAAAAAATATATTATTTTACGAATATACTAACATTTAAGGATTGCTAGACCCTTAGAAGGAGCTCCTACTGCCGGCAGGGTTCGAACCGGCAGGGTTCGAACCCACGAACTCTCGGATATGGACCCTGTGCCCTACCGACCAGGCTATCCCGTCCTTGGTGAAATATCCATCGTATTGTCACGAAATTTGTCACGGAGATAAATTACAACAGGAGAATAATTGCCTGGTCGATTCGAATTCCGCAACCGATTCACACCAACCACAGTGAGAGCGTAAAATATTCTCAGGGTATAGACGGATGATGGGTTAAAGTCCCCTTTCCATAAGGCTAACTGTGGGAGGTTTCCGTTTTTTTCCTCTCCATGTAAAGCAAATGCTGGTTAGCTCCTCCCAACAGTTGATCCAGGAGTTCCCTTGTCTTCTGAATTGGGTTCGAAATTACAAGGTTACGAAGTTGAACATTGGTTACCTCAAATTGTAATCTTAATTCGTAAACTCAAAGTTGGATTTTGCTGTTTGACGACGGTTATAAAAACGAACAGGAATTTGATCGGCAAGAGAGAAATACCTAGTGTTTCTCCATTGTTAAGCAACCAAGTTGACAGAATAAAACATAATGAAAATGAAAATCGAATCTTTTTCATTAATCGTCTTCAGAAAGCTCAGGAAAGCTTATCTTTTAACAGTCAATCGATAAGTATCTCGAAGTTTCTTGGCAACAGACATTATTTTTTGAGGCTGATTTCTGATCAAAACCCAAAATTTTTTCAATTTTTTTTAATGTTCTCTGAAAATTTAATTTGAATGGATTAATAAATTATTTATGATTTTCAAAGTTTTTAGAATTCGAACGGAAGAACTTTTCATTTGACATTATTTGTGTTTTTTTCCGTTGTTTTTAACTTTTTTAAGACTGAAGGTTTTATACTAAAGCCAAACTATCAAAATTCATTTTAATTCTCTTAATTTTACAGAGTTGTTGGGCGAATCATCTTTAAACCTTTGATCGAGTCTTCTAGGCAAAGGCAAAAAGTTTTTAAGGCAAAAAATTAAATAAAAATAATGAATAAATAAATTAAAAATAGAACAGATTTTAATTCCCTTAATTGTACAGAGTTGTTAGGCAAATCATCTTTAAACCTTTGAGCGAGGCTCCTAGGCAAAAAGGTTTCAAGAAAAAATAAATAAATAAATAAATAAAATAAAATAAAATAAATAAATAAAATAAAATAAAATAAAATAAAATAAAATAAAATAAAATAAATAAATAAAATAAAATAAGTAAATAAATAAATAAATAAATAAAAATAAATAAATAAAATAAAATTAATAAATAAATAAAAATAAAAGAGGTTCTAGAAAAAAATCTAGTGTATCTGGAAGAGATAATTACTATTAACACATTGACGAAGATTAATATAATTGACGATATTTCTTTTTTCTATATTTAAAAAAATTAGTGAATGTTAATTGACATTTAAAAAACACTGATATATGTATATTTAAGAATATTGTACAATTCATTATTTAAAAAAATTGCTTCATTTAGCCAAATATGTAAGTTACTTGGTTTTCTTTGGATAAAGATAATTCGCTAATAGTTTACTGATGATTCTGCAGATTCTGAACGGACTTGCGCAAATTCGTAAAATGTAAAATTTATGAAATGCGCTGAACATGTTCTTCAATTACGATCAGCTACATTTATGATCAAATATCACTACTATAATTTTGCTGCTTAATTTCCTTTTATTACAAACTTACTTTGCGATTCTCACCATAAATTCTAACATATATCTGATACGATAGTCTCGTTTAAAACAGAGCTTTTAAGGTCCTTAAAAAACTGAAATGGTGTCAGCAAAACTAAGAAGATAAATGTATTTCATTTCGTTTATTTTTTAGCACGTGTTTCAATGATAAATTTCAATAACGCCGAATACCTGTTAAAGCAATCTTAAGTTTCGATATCGTAATTTATAGTTAAAGATAGGTTCTTAATTACAATATTGATGCCACAGTTTCCTTAATGTTTTAAGGACCACAAGTACCCTGTTAAAGTAATAAAATAAAGATGTTTGCCTTAACGAGCATAAGATTCTGATTAAAGTAATGAAAGACAGTATACTTGATGATAGAAATATCATCGGCCTAAAAAAATATGAACATGGTTATAAAAGTTGACATATTTCGAGAGCTCAAAAGTATACGCCCATTCTCGAAACTTATCTGGTGGGAATGAAGAAAACAAAAGTAATTTGAAACAGAAACATCATCACATTCCGCACATCTGAGGTCTGCTAAATTAAATGATATAATATTATAAATTTATTTATATTTTACGTTGTGTGCGATATGAAGTAATTTTATTCATAAAATTAATTTTATTCTTAAATTTATACCCTCTATATTAGATCATTAAATTGAGTAGAATCAAGTTTTTGAAGGACTAAGATATATAGTCCCCAATATATAGTAAGGATATCTTTGAGATATACAGATAGTAAATACAATTGATATCTGGAAGAAGTCCCTTAGATATCAATGTTATGGACTGGATATTGCATGGATATCTGTGATAAGTACCATAGATCTGTCAGATGTCTCTGAGATATAAAGTAAATATTACAATATCCAAATATCTGTTGGACACACAGAGTTGCGATTCTGGATTTCTAACAGATATTTCATGATT